AAAGTGATATCTTATCGAGTTAATTTCTCTGTTGAATTTGTTCAACAGTAACAGCAACAGATGTTTGTTGTTTTTCCTCGATTTTGTCTTTGATAATATTGCCGATTTGTTTTTGATAGCCTTTCTGTAAGAGAAGTACGAAGAAGTACCAAGAAGTACAAAGAAGTACGGAGAAGTACAGAAGTACGCTTGTTCCCCCTTGTCATATCATCGTATAATTGCTGAGTACTATCACGTTCACCTTCAAAGACAATTAAAAAACAAAGACGAAAAAATGTTATAAATTTTTCTAAATAAAAATCCGGATTTTTGTTTTACATATAAATAATAAGACTTGAATATAGATATATATTCTAAATAATAGAGCAGTCGATATGTCTGAGTCTGGTCACAATATACGAACAAACTGGTTATTTTACTGTCAAGAAATGATTGCTAGTAGCTATCTGACTCGATTTGATATTGCCTTATTATAAACATAGAAGCTTCCTCGTATTCAATTGCGTTTTATTTCTATGGAAAGACATTTATCAGAAACTATTTTTGAAAAGTCGTCAAATTTAGTATATAAGAGAAAACCTCACAGATAAATTTTTCTCATTTATAAAATGAAAAGTGTGTCACAATCCTAATGATTGAGCCTTGAGATACACTAATTCTAAACCCATTTTCAATATTTGACTTGGGTTCGGTCTTGAAAAAATTAGTATCAAATTATCAATTTATATGAATATCTTCACTATTCGTAATTCTGCAATAACCAAATTCAGTCAGTTTTAACAATTGGATTTGACTATAATTGAGTTTAGTACATCCCTAGTTGAGCCAAGCAAAAAAAATGTCATTTTCCACAACTTTCTAGCAAATACATCTCATTCAATCTCCGAGAAAACATTTATAGTATATACTTCTCTTTATGCGTTTCGAACATTTTGTTCTTGAAAAAATCTAGTTTAATGGTATTATAATATCAAAAGGATTGAATGCTTAGTAATATGAGATTCTCGTTCAGTCTAATTGACAAATATTCTTGTCCAAACTAAATCTAACGCTAATCTACCAAGGGTAAGAAAAATCTCACGTAAAAAAAAAATATAACTCCCCTACCGTGTATCAATGTTGAGATGGGTAATAGATATTAATGACCAGGTTTTATTAATACAATGAAACTGAAGGTTATAATAATGAGAAACGGAAAAAAAATCAATAAAAATATGGATAACCAACATCGATAATTGAGAAAAAACCAATATCAATGATACAAGTAGATGATCAATATCAATAAGTGGATAAAAACAAATATCAGTCACAACTGGTTGTGAAGACAGATCCCAGATATGAGTCAGAGATGCCGTAGAAGAACAGGTGAAAGGGGGAAAAAAGAGACCAATAGCCCGTACTATAACAGTTAGTGGTAAGAGTGACCTCTGTTGATGCTAACAAATAACAGCAGTACCCAGGTAAGTCCGTGCGTCATTGATATGGGTGGCGTATGAAACACTCGGTTACGCGTACAGAACATGATGGAAGCATAGATGGTGCGTGCATTGGCTAGTGACGTGCGTTTTTATATGCTTCTCTATTAGTTTATTCTTGGTTTCACATTAGATTCTGCCTTGTTTGCGGATTTTTTGTGCTGCTAATTTTTCGTATTTAAATTATATTTAGACAATAGAAAATAAACCGATATCAGATGTTTACTGATATTTTATTTGTTAAATAAAATAAAGTATAGTTCGTAGAAAAATACAAATTTTTGGATTAATCAATTTTTTTGTATCATCAATCGAGGACGAATAAAAGGCTGAAAATAATAATTAGATTTTAAAAAAAAATCTTTTATAAAAGTAAATCAATTAAAGGGAGTAAAAATATAATAATCGATTACAACTATGATGACATGTTAGACAAGAATAAGCTTAATTTCTTGTAGACTTATGATGCCAGTTGTTGTTCTTCTTCGGTCTATCCGTAATGCATATGACAGTCAAGATTTAACCGTATGTTTTTTTTTATTTCGTTCTACTATGGTTGAAAGAATTACTACATAGGAAAACACATTGTGTCGAAGAATAAATATTTCATGATTTTTCTTTAGTAGTGAGTAATTATCTTTTTTTCTATTCATTGAATTTTATTAATAAGAAATATCTTTGTTAAAATAAATCGAAATATTGTTCAACAAAACTAAAATTATAACTAAACTAAACTCTTCGTAATAGAAAGTACTATACAAATAATGCTTCAACAACCACAAATTGTCTCATAAATGTACTAGTACCTGCAAAAGAAATTTATCGGACTCCACTTTTAACAAAAAAAACGTCACCACATCGTAAGGTGATTTTTTTCAATTATTTATCTTCATAAAATATATAGTATGTGGAATAAATTTCAATACTAAAAATAATACACTGGATCATCACAGCAATACAGATTAGCCAATGGTAGTTTCAGAATAAATATTAAAAAAAATGATTTATCTCACGAAGAGATCTTTTTCGATGTAATCAGCTGAAGAGTAAAATAAATATGAATAATGAGATCAAGTGTAAAGGTTTCTGCAAACTTGTCATAGTGCTATGAATTGTAAGAATATTTATTCAATTCAGTATTGTCTCTAGAATTTAATGTAAACTTTACGATAGAAAAAAAATTCTAATATTTTCCGAACTGAAAAATAAATCCAAGACTTTTGAAGCAAAGAAAAGAGCTTGAACATACGATTTCATATAAATTCGTTTGCTATAATTAACATATTTATATTCTTAAAATAATAAAAACTTATCTACGAGTTACTCAGAATTTTAAATGTTTGTTCAGCTAATATGTAAGTAGAAAAGAAGCTAAAGAATTGGATGATGGTAAAATAAGGAATCGTAATTTGATTGGTGCATAGTATCGATGTACGATATGAGTAATATTCTTCAGCTTATATGTTTGGCTTGTTTCTTTCGACCTTCAACATGCTCTATTAGAATCTTAATTATGTTCAGCTGAAGTAAGGTAATCCAGACATATTCTATTTTAAAAATTATATGCTTTTATATTTTAGTATATGTCATCAGCAAGAAAAAAAATTTTGTCATTCGTAATTGAAAATCAACTGATATTTGTGTTTTTTTTTCTTCTCTAAAAATAATTTATTACATATTTACAGTTGTTAATATGAGAAGTTAGTTATTAGGAGATTTTGCTGTTCGACTTTCTAAAAATATGAGTTCAATCATGTTTGACAAACTTTCTATGTTCATATTGTTTTTCGTTTTAGATTTATATTTTATTCTGTTAATACAACAATTAAATTAATAAAACAAGGTAAAGCTTATATTCAAATTAATAATTATCCATATTAGTATTTTTTTTTTGAAATATATATTCAAAAGAGGTTAGTCTTTAGAAAAAAAAATGAAAAGTTTGTAAGTATTTATATTATAATGAGATTTTGTTCGATATATTTGAAAGATGTTTTCAAAAAAAAAATTGATATCTTTCATGCTTATTTAGCAGGAGTGCAGAATCTGCCGATAAAATAAAAAATTTCCTCGAACGACAAAGATTTTGTGAAAAATTTTCCCCACTATAAAATTCAATTGAAAAACGAGTATTCTTGTTTAAGCTATTTATTCAAAAAAAAACAACTATCACTATTTAACACATTGCAAATATACATATAATCATTGAGTGAATTTGCAAAAAATGAATCAACTGAATGTAACGATGGTGGATTCTAGAAATGTCCATAGGGCAAGGTAAATCTCCCCTGTTATTTTACAAGAGAGGGTGGAGCAGGAGAAGATCCTTGCGCCCTGAAAATTCCAAACACTAACTTTAAAAAATATAGACATGATGATCTGTTTCGAAAATGTTAAGAGCTATGTAGTAAAGTAACACAAGTGTCGTTATCACATAGTGTCTAGGACTCCCGTATATTCTCTGAAAAACGAATGTTTCAATGAAATGGACAAAGAAAGGAATCACTGTAATGAAAACATATTTGTAAGTGTTGCTTATCATTTTGCTATTCAAATGCTTCAAATAACAGAAAAATATGAAACCAATATCTGCTGATCAAAATAACGTTCCGATTCTATTCTCCAGTGCTTCTACTGTTACAGCTACTTCATCATATACAGTCAATCAATTACAACGAGGGTGTGGATATAAATGTGAATATGGACGGAGATGTATGAATGCTACTTCTTTGGTCACCTACACCCTAGAGCCCAGCATCAGTTCCCAAATAATTCTTCATATAAAATTTTTTTTTTATTGAAAAAGTACAGTTTCATATTTTTCGGATCCGACTAGTTCTAAGTTTGAAATCGTACTTTTTCAATAAAAAGAATTTTTGACACGAAGGATTATTGTGTGCGTGTCTAAGTAGATGAGTTTAAAGAGGAAATATTTCTCTACAAGATGCATATTCGAGTAATGTATTAACGTTAAATATGATGAAACGATCCATACGATTTTAGAAAATTATTTCGAAACCGATGCTCGGCTCTACTATACAGTCATATCCACACAAATCGTACACGCTATATCATGAATAGGCATAAAGAGATAGGATGAAACAAGTGATAAGATGCATGATCAATGTAAACAACGGTAGACAATACTGACACTACGATAAAGACATGACTTACTCTTTCAGAAGTTTAATGAAAAGAAAAGTAGAAGATCTTATTGATGTAATTATATATAAATAAGCTAAGATTCGTTCGGAAAATTGAAAAAATCCCCCCCCCCCCAACGGTTGTTAGCGCTCATAGGCAGATTCTGCACAACTGTTATTTAATCTTATTGGTTATTGTTCGCTATACATCTTTGTCATTATTGTTTCGTCTATAGTATTTGATTCGATTACGTAATATATCTTTGATTGAATTCAATGAATATTCAGCCAATAATTTAAAAATAATAAAGACAAATAATTATTTATTCAAATAGAAACAACAAATTTATTATTATTTTTATTTAGAAGTGATTTATTATCAATGGCAGACTTAAGTTCAATTTTTGCAGCAACAATTCGAATTTTTTCACAAGCTCTTATGATTGTAAGTTGTATATAGAATATAAATATATTTGTTTATTGAGAATATTAGCAATCTTCGAAATGTTGTCTTCTATGAGAAACTGAATTCATAATGGCGAAAACTGATTCCTCCATTTTTCCGAGATGCAATGTTCGATCGAGCTGAAAGTTTTGTTATAGGTATCAGACACTGTTGATAGCGAGTATTCTTTTTTTTATTTTGTTCCTCCTTCGAATAAAAAAGTTTCAACTCAATAGGTTGGCGAAACAGTGAACAGTTTTTGCTAACTTGAATTAGACAAATTTTGAATACTCAGTAGATAGATACAATCTCAGACTGTATAATGGTTGCAAAAGAAATCAAAATTTTGCATCACGGAAGGAAGAGTATCGTTAAATAATTTGATCAATATGTTTCACATTTTTGAGATATAAAATTAATGAAGAACTTTATGTATTACAGACAGATGACAAAAACTCAATTATTTATCTTCCATAAAATTTTGACTGTATCCTTAGACTCACTAGCGGAAAATTTTTTCATTAAAACATCGATACAATTCTACCAATGTCACACAAATGATCATTTTTCTAATCGCCAGCAATTCTGTATATCATACATTTGAAAATTTGATTTTTAAATTTTTAGTTTGGTGGTGTTGTTCCATATATTCCTCAATATTTAATAATACAACGTTCTCAAAATGCTGAAGGTTTTTCTAATTATGTATGTCTTACATTACTTATTGCTAATATTTTACGTATTGAATTTTGGTTTGGTAAACATTTTGAAATTCCTCTTCTTGTTCAATCTATTGTAATGATTATATGTATGCTTATTATGCTTGAACTTTGTATACGTGTTTATTCAAAATCTGTATCTCATCATTTACCTCTTAATCAACAAAATTTATCACACACAAAAGAATTAACACCAGATATTCGTGAAAAAAAATTTACTGATTTTCAAATGGATGATTTTTGGAAATGGACAACGTACGGATAAATCAAAAAATAAGAAACAATTTTATTTATTTTTATTTATATAGATTAACAAGTTATCTTCAATTTTTATTTGTATTTACTTTCATGTTAAGTAAGATTTCTTTTTTGCTTTTATAAAAGAATATTTATTTTTTTTATTTTTTCGAATATTCAAGGTACAACAACATGGTTACTTCTTGATAATACATATTATATTGAAATAATTGGATTTCTAGCTGTATTTTTCGAAGCTTTATTAGGTACACCACAATTTATGCGTAATTTTCGATTGAAATCAACTGAAGGAATGAGTGTAAAAATGGTGAGTTTGTTTGTTTTTTTTGAAAATTCGAATTTGATTTTTGTTTTCGTTTTTTTTTATTTTAAAGGTTCTTATGTGGACATCAGGTGATATATTTAAAACTGTTTATTTTATTTTACGAAATGCACCGAAACAATTTTGGCTTTGTGGAATGTTACAAATTAGTATTGATATAGCTATACTTTGTCAAGTTGTTTTTTATTCTGACAAATATCGATTTCGTAAACGTTAAAGAAGAAAAAAAAAACTATTTAAAAAAATATTTTATTTGCATTTTCATTTTCTTTTCGTTTTCTAAACAATCTAGCATGACTCATTTTTCTTTCTCTTTTTTATTTCTTAAATAAGTACTTTATCATTTGAAAAAGTCAAACTGAGAAAAAGAATTGCAGAGAATATCGTTGTTTTTGTTTTTATGTTCAAATGATGATTAAAAAAATATATATATATACTTGCAGTTTAACTAACAGATTTGTTCTAGAATTTTATTATGAATATCAATCTATATTTGATTGTGTTTAGTAGAAATCTGTTAAGCGACAAGATTTACTATACGAAACTTTATTGTCCTTTGTGGGTCACAATATATTATATAAAGGTTAGGCTGTAGTCTCTGTAAATTTTAACTTATTGTGATAGGATTTTTTTTTTTCTTAAATATAACTTCTTAAACATTAGAAGAAACTAATTAACATGCGTTGAAAGGATTCTGATTGTAGATAGTATTAACAAATCTTGAATGAAGTGGAACTGATAAAAACAATCAAATGCCATTGAAAGAAGAAGAAATGAGATACAAAACTAAGAACATTAGCAATGTACGATTCTTGATTCTGTCATACTGGAATCGATCGGTTTATACGAATTTCGGTCCAAATCGTAAGTCCTACAGGACTTGGGGTTTGGTCTCAAATTCGTCTCATTAGCTTTCTTAAAAGCCATAAATCCTATAAAAACTTAGTACTCTTCCTAGTCCTTATTGACATGCATTTCCAGTAAGATATAGTGCTGAGCAGTCTGCTTTAATCCCATTAAACGTGGTGTGGTCTTTTGAGATAATTGAAGTAAGATTTTTTATAAGGATTAATAAGAGAAATTTGGATCTAGTCCGAAATTTTGATCTCCTAATAGATCAATAATAGATTGATGTTAAAAAAAAATCAATTAACGTTCTATAACCAAATTCCTTGCTTTCAAAAATTAAGTATCATCCAATTATGATAAGTAGGAGTCAGGCCTTGAAGCAAGCCAACTGGCCCGACGATTTTATCCTTTTTTGACATTTGACTCATTCCTGAGAGAAGAATAGGGGGAAAGATTCCGGGCTACATCTCCTCCCGGTCATCACTTTTTTCTAAAAGACAAAACATATGCAATAGTTTTTCACATAGAAAAAAAATCTTTGTAAACGAAGTTTTCTTCGGGCTCGGGCTACAAAAAAAGTGGTTAAAGTTTAAGACCTGGTAAGAGTACTCTAAACTCATGTCATTCATTGATTAGATTTCAATGGTGGATGACTTTTGAAATCGAAAAATTTTGTCATAGAACAACTATTTTTTTAAAATTTTATCTATGTTTTAATTGAAGAGAGCTCACAACAGTACGTTATTTATCGCTCTCTTTACATAAAAACAATTTTTTAAACATTCTGAAGATAAAATTTTTTGACTACAATTAAATACTGATATAAACTTTCGATTCAGTCAAATATTTATCTTTTTTGTAAGTGAGACTCTTGTCCGTTGATTTTTTTGTCGGCCTCATTTCACAATAGCAAATGTCCTAAACAATGATATAACAAAAATAAATAAATATCTTTAAAAAATGAAATATGCATATATTCAATCGAGATATATGTAAGAAATTAGCTATTTTTTTGTTGAAACTGTACTCATAAACTTCAAATGAAGTATTAAAATAACATTATTGAAGATGAAAAAAACCGTCATTGTTTCATCACCAGGTAAATTAATTATTGGTGGTGAACATGCTGTTGTTTATGGTCGTCGAGCTTTGGTTACTAGTATTGGTATGCGTTTATATATGGAATTAACAGAAGAAGAAATAGAAAATAATGAAACTAATAAAAGTTTATTAAAAGTATTATTTCATGATACAAATCAACGTTATTCAATTGATTTATTAGATATACATGATTCATATCCAATTGAAATTCAAGCTATACTTTATATTTATAATCATTTTAAATCTTTCATATCTAATCAAAGTCATTTAAATATACAAGTACGTTCGGAAATTCCTATTGGTGCTGGACTTGGTTCAAGTGCAGCATTTAGTGTTTGTCTTGTTGGTTGTTTTTATTTACTTTATTATAAAAAATTTAATCAAGAAGATATTAATCAATTATCATATAAAGTTGAATGTATTTTTCATGGTACACCATCTGGTATTGATAATACAATAAGTACATATGGACAATCACTTGTTTATAGTCGAACATTAAAACAGCATATTAATTTTCATTTATCAAATTTAGCTATTATTGATACAGGTATACCAAAATCAACAAAAAAAATGGTTGATTTAGTACGTTTATTTATTGAAAATAATCAAAAAGATGGAGAAAATTTTTTAAATGATATTGAATTATGTGTTGATAAAATGATTGAATATCCTGAACAAATAAATCAATTATTTCAACAAAATCAACAATTACTTAAATGTTTAGGTGTATCAACAATAGAAATTGATAATATTATACAAATATTAACAGATAAAAATATTTCAGCAAAAATTACTGGTGCTGGCGGTGGAGGTTGTCTTATTGCATTAACATCTAATTTTACAAAAGATCAAATTTTAGATTTATTAAAAGATAATCATATTAAATCAATTTATTTTGTTGAATGTGGTGTTGAAGGTTTACGAGAAGAACAAACATTTTAAATCTTGTTTATTTTTGTTTTTTTTATTCTCATAAACATATTTATTATTATTATAAGCATGATCCTGAAATCAATTTAATACAAAACAATTCCGACATGATTGTACTGTAAAATACTTAGGACATACCAAAGGTTCTGGCCATGGCGTTTAAAGAATCTTTTCGGATAAGGAGACCTATTGAGAAATGAAAAAAGCAAATATCCGATGTTGTAGAACTTTTTGAGGCGCGTCGAATGGTATATAGAAAATCTTGTTTTCACAGAACTTTGAAGTACTTAGAGTCAATTTACTGATTGATGACTTCACATCCACATCCAAGCATGATAAGTGTCCGAATATTGTAATCCTTGGTATTTGTAAAATATTTTTTCTCACATATGATTTTGTAGAGTTTTTGACACGCTACAACCTCATATATGTAGCATCTCTGATCGTCTTGTCAGGATTGGTTGCAGTCGTCTATCAGTAAATTGACTTTAGGTCCTTCAAAATTCTATGAAAATAGAATTTATTATATACCATTGGACGGGCCTCGAAAAGCTCTACAACATCGGATATATGGTTTTTCATTTCTCCATAGATCCCCTTATCTGAAAAGATCCGTTGAACGCCGTGGTTAGAACTTTTGATATGCCACAAGTATTTTTGTTGTAGAAATTTCACTCTTTTCTCATTATAACAATTCATTGAAGCCAAAGAATTTTGTCATTTATGGATTTTGGTTTAAATTTCATGTGGTATATAAGAGAGAAATAAAGTATTGACTTTAGTTTAATATTCTTGTTTTCTATGTACTTCATTACCTTTATGAATATTCGGTTTTTTTTAGATATATGAGATACACTGTTTATTCTTTGATTACATAAGATGCGATGCAAAAGTTACTGAAAGAAATTTTGTTTAATTCGAAGATAGAGGGTTTTTTTCTCTCTTGATTTGTATGTACTTTATTCTCAACAAACCTTCATAAAAAAAATGAAGCAACAGTAAAAAGAAACACCTTCAAAATGAGTCCGCATTTTTTTTTCATAGTGCAAGAGTTTTACCGTACACACGAACTACCACTTGGGGTAGTTCTCTCGTTAGTTAATTTATGCTGGCTGATCCCATAACGATTATTAACAAATTTCATTACATGACTTTATTTTTGTTTGGAAAGTTTTACTGAATGATAATTTCTCAGTGAAAATTTCGTTCGTCCATATTTGAAGTATTTGTCCAATATGTAATTAATTATTGTTCTTGGAATATCTTACTTTATAAAATAATGAAGACATAGAGATTAATATTTTTGTATCATTATGTCGCACTATAAGAAAAATGCGGATTCATTTTGAGGATGCTTCTCTTTACTGTTGCATGATTTGTTTTTAATAAGCATTTGATAAAAATCAATTATATACGATTTGAAAGAGAAAAAAATCTTCTATCTTCAGTTAAGAAAAAATTTTTTTTTCAGATCCTTCTACCGACGAGCAATAGGAGCCAACATTTGTCCAATTGCTTTTGCATCATAGATGATTGGTTTTGTGAAAACTAAAAATTATTACGCTAGATACTCTCAGAAAATTCAATACCCAATCTAGTTTTGTGACAAGTTATATGAATGCTAAGTAGCGGCGTAAGCGGAAGACAATGGGTGGTAGAGCAATGATCTACACTCTAAAAAACTTTCTGTTAGGGAACCTTTTTAGGTTTTGTAGCAGACGTTTGTTTTTAGAATAAACGATCTTGGGCAAAAGAATCCAAGCAAGATAGTGTCTATGATAGTAATTATCATGTTTTTCTTTATTTCTGGGGTAGGATAGCTACCGGCCAATCCCACTCTTGGTTACATCACTAGTGATAGAAAAATGAAGGAAAAAATATATATTGACTGTGACGTATTTTTCTTTCTTAATTATTGTATAACGCAAATTATTTTTGCTCTCCTTTGCCTATTAATAAGGCATATTCATACCTCTAATCACGTGCACTTCTTTTATTCATGGAATACAAAAGAAAATAAAAACGCTATGTCTCACAAATCTAAATTAGGAAATTTAATACGTTTAACAAGTAATTCTGGAAGTGAAGAACAATCTAGTTCATCATCATCTATTAAAGATCCATATATTCTTTCTATTGATATTGGTACATCATCAATTCGTGCTTATTTATTTTCAAAATCATTTCAAATTATATCTTCAAGTCAAAAACCACAAACAATTCATTATCCTGAAGCACATGGTTATGAATTTGAACCTGAAGAATTTTGGTCAAAATTTCTTTATGTTATACGTGAAACAATTGAACATGCTCGTCCATTAACAATTGATGATATAA